TTGATGAAATGACAATAAAAGCAAAAGTACCCCATGTGTAGGAGAATGATCTTGTCCCAGGTGCCTAGTGCAGCCCAGTAGAACCTACCCCGCAGGTAATCTTCTCATGTGACCCAGACTTGGTGCCAAATGAATTAATTGGGAAGCATGGAGGAAGGTCCACCATCACCTGCCTACTATCCCCCTACAAGCTGCCTCTAGCGAAAGGAAGGGAAGTCTCACAAGGGGGATCAGAGGCTCACACCTAGTACACACAAAAATCAGACAAAAAAAGGCAATTGTCTAATAATCTGAGCATTAGTACACAGCTTTCAAGAGCTGATCACAACAATTCAAGCGAAAATATCCAAGGATACAAGCAGAAACATTTTTCACAGAAGATAACAGAGCAATCGATTTTTGTGTAATTAGTACAGTATTTGTAAAAAAAATCAAGTGAAAAAGACCATGCATCCTCATGCATGCACAACATCTCTTCCGAAGTTGTATTCTGTTTTAGGAAACTTTTTGTAACTTTAGTAACTTATTCATTTTTGATATAAGACTAGCATGAAAAAAAACATGATCATACGTCCGATATTCTCATTGTGTATACTAGGTATTATATGCCGCCTCAAGTGGGGAAAAAGGACACGATGAGGAGGTTCAAGCAAAAACTTAAACCTCTGCAGGATTCTCCTGTAGCAACCCACCATCTGCAGCAACATCCTTTCCAAGGCAGGTGTCTCTTCCACATTGCTGGGGCAGAGGAAAAAAGTCCCCAAATCACACACAACTCCTTACTGCTAGCTTGGCACAACTGCAACTGATCCCATTTAAACTTCTGTAATCTGCCCCCTTCCACAAGTTTGTTGCCCGTGCTACATCACAATGGCTGGTATATAGTCACCCCTATTTTGCCTAGAAGGCAATCCCTGCCCTTCATCAGCATGTCCAATGTAATGTGCCTGCAGCAGGGTACACATGACCATATGTAGTCCACGAAGCATGGGAAGTGATACTATATATCCATCAGTTTGTATGCCTGGAAGACAGGAGCCACACTAGGTCAGAACTGAAGGCAGCTTTCCAGGCACATGGCGAGAGCGGGCTGACTCCACATCATCTTCAGACAAGCAAGGTTGTTTAGACAATGGCACTTGTTTGGTATGTCCTCAATGTGATAGTGAAGGGCTTCATCATGTAGTACCTTCTCTTCTACAAGGTCATTTGTCCAGTCAGAATGTTTTGTGGTTACTTTAGGCTGTCATACCTGGCCAGTGTTTTCCTGACAGAAATACCTGATTAGCAGCCACTTCATCTGCAATACCATCACACCCTCAAACTCAGTGTTGTCCATACTGCAGAGGTTTCACTAGCATCAGCGTACCATTAATAGAGAGAAAATATAAAGTCAGTGCTAGAACATGAACAGCAAGGCTGTCAGCAAAAAAGGCAGATAAACAAGCCCTTGAGAAATCAAACAAAAAAAGTTTTTGCTGCGCCGAAAATGTGACCTTATCTATTATTAAAGAACCAGCACATTCTTGTATATACTAAAAAAAACAAATAACAGCAATTTGTGTAAACTAATATATGTGGAACCAATGCAAAATAAAGTCCCAAAAGACTGTGGTATACATAAAAAGTCTTCTGCATCAAAGTTCATCCCAGTGCAAAAAGTAAAAAACAAAACAAACTTGTGACATTCACCTCCACCTTATCCAATCGTAAACCAAATCTTCCAGTTTATGATTACAGCTGATCACCAAGTGAATTGCATGCTGATTTACTTAGAGTGGTTAGTTTCCTTCCTTGTCATGCCAGCTGAAGCCTATGACAGAGACTGTCTTTCCCTCTTTTCCTCCACTCTTCCACTAGTAAGACCAGCAAGAAACTGAAACAGAACTCACAAAACAGAGCAAACAAGGGGGGCCATGGTGAAGTGTATATATTGAATAAAAGCCACAGATATAATTGTATAAAAGAACATTGGCATATGCTCTAAAATGTGTAGAGCCACATATAGAGCCACCACTTGGGAACCGATGTGGCAGCATGCCGCCCGCACGGCCTACGCATTTCAAGCTACAGCACATCACCTCTAATTATTATTATTATTATACAGGATTTATATAGCACCAACAGTTTGCTCAGCAGTTTACAATATGAGGGAGACAATACAACAGCAATGCAGTAGGGATAGGAGGGCCCTGCTTCTTGAAGCTTACAATCTAGGAGGGAGGGGCTAGTGGTACAAAAGGTAGCAACTGTGGGGGATGAACTGGTAGGAAGAGTAGAAGATTCCATTATTAGCTGAGGGCAGGATAGGCTTCCCTGAAGAGATAGGTTTTCAGAGATTGCCTAAAAGTGAACAGAGCAGGTGATAGTCTGATAAATTGGGGTAGAGAGTTCCAGAGGATGGGGGAAGTTCTGGAGAAGTTCTGGAGATGATCATAGGAGGAAGAGACAAGGGAGCTAGAGAGCAGGAGGTCGTGTGAGGAGCGGAGAGTATGCTGACATATGACCATTATTTTGTAGCCTACTGTACTTTCCCTCACAGGGAGGAGAATGGAATTTTCAGCCATGATTGTATGGAAAACATCCTTACATTAATGTTCAGCTATGTTTCATTTGCAGCCATTTATATGTTTACAAAAAAGTAGCTATCACATTGCAACTAATAAAGAACGTAATCTCCCATCAAAAAACATATAATAAACTCATACTACATTGAAAAAAGGAATTACCAACACTGGCTGCATAGAATATCAATTCAAAATCTTAAAGTGTGCCATTGAGGACAGGCTCTGGGGAGTTGGGGTTCATTTCACCATGTCAATAGTTCATCATTCAAGAACCTTCACTCTCTCAATCAACATTGACTATTTTTAATCCTTATGCTGCTAGAATTAGTAAATGGATAGGAAAGTATATCATAATTGTTTAAACTATTTTTTTTACATTTCTTCAGTTACTTCCTGGTTCCCATGCCTAGGAAAATGATGTCATACATCCCAGGAGCCTTCAGAAGGGAAGATGGGTTCACAGTTCAGCCAATGCCTGAGCTAAGGGCAGATGGATTTCAGAAAGTAAATTCTGCATGAATCATCTGCCTTTACTCAGAATGGCCACTGCCAGAAATGCCAGGAGGAGTTTTTCAAAATGATTTCTCAGCAAAATAAAGCATGGACACATGGATGGATGGATGTGTTTCCTTTGAATATTAACAATGAATTAAATAGCATTTTGGTTTGTGGTGCTCAGATACAGTGCAGTTCCACTTTAAGTGGTTAAAACATGTCCTATCTCTTCCTATCATATTGCAGCATAACCAAACTGCTTACATACTGTTCAGCTACTGAACAATATTTGTGGCTATTTTCTCTCATATAATACACTCATTTTTATGGCAAGATTACAGATACAAAACACACTCTAAAGTTTTTTCAGGATAAAACCTACCTTTTCTCTGTGTCCTACAGTTTAGTTTAGCCAAGCTGCTTATATACTATCCAGCCACTGCTTCTACTTCCACCGCTCATTCCAGGCCTTTTATCGCTTGATATACAAAAAAATTGTGTTCCAGAAAAAAAAGGCCTGAAAAAAGTTTTTTTTTTTCCAAGGTGAAATAAATCTGGTCATGGTGCTTCTGCTGTATTTAAGCCAATCTACATGTAAAAGTTAAAAAAAAAAGTTTTAAAAAATTACACATCCAAAATATGTAAGGCCAGAAAAGATGTAATTGATGCTGTCTGTGAAAATTGTAATGTTCTGTAACACCACATATAGCTTAAATGCATTTTCCAAGCATGTAAATTTAAAGGATTGGTCTTTTTTCCATGTCACTCAAAGTCATAATAAAAGAACCCTCTTCCACTGTACAATATTTTTTTTTCTTTGTTAAATATCCCAGAAAGCATTGCACACCTCCCATGCCCTTTTTTTTTTTTTTTTTTTTTTTTACAATAGTCTGTTTATTATCCCTCAAAATCAATAGAATTTAACAGCAAGATTTGCCCCTATAGACCTCAATTGGAATCGCTGCTAAGTTCCAGTTTTCCAACTTTCAGACACGATTTTAAAAACCCATGAATTAATCCCAGGCAGAATTATCCATTCTTCTTTATCATTAGTAGGGTGGATCAAGCTGTAACACACACGTTAAGCAATATTCTTCAGGTGGATTTTGCCAGCAGGATGCAGCCTGTGCTTGATAATATGGGCTGGACCTCAGGTGCTAAATGTCCAAGGGGCCTCTGAGGGCCTAATCCTCTGTGAGTGCATTTGATATGCGAAAGCCTCACCCAAGTTGTTCAGAGATAGGGGAATGAGTATACACAAAAACCTTAACTGCTCTGGAAACTGCAACCCAAGATCTTGTACATAGCTTCACAAGAACCTCTGTTTTTGGAAAACTATTCAGGCTGTACATATGTTCTAACCTATGCTTGGCTGAACGGGTAGTCCACTGGGCTTCTCTTTGCTTTCCTATCTCTACTCGTCCTTATCGCATGGAAGCTTTTGGAGTGATGTGCATATGCATACCGATGTATGTATCAGGTTCTACTAGAGCATATGGTTCATTTGTGCACTGATATTTGTCAAATCATTTTATATATCTTTATATGTATGTACCTATATCTTTTTTTTCCTTCAGCAGTGGCTATTATTTTCCTGAGGAAGCAGGAAGAGATTCCTGCGAAACATGTTGAGGAATCAGGGCCATTTTGAGAATGAACATTATATTCTGTCAAGAGTGCTTGCTCCTAAATCTTTTTGTATTTATGTAAAGCATGAACTGCTTGAATTGTATCACTTTGTGGGCTTTGTTATGCTGTAACAAAATTATTTCCTTTTTTTAAGAAGTATTTTAGGACTCTGTCTAGTTTTTTCATATTAACCGCCTCTTGCCCGCCATATAGTGAATGACGGACTCAAGGCGGTTGTCTCATTCTGGAAGGACGTCATATGACGTCCTCCCATTCTAACCGCACATGCGCGGCTCCGGGAGCGCGCATCACAGCGATCGGCAGTGTGCTGTGTCCCTCGGATACAGCGGATCACGAATCAATGGAAAGAGCCGAAGATGTCTGCTCGGTCATGTGATCAGCTGTGTCCAATCACAGCTGATCACATGTAAACAGGGAAATGTCGGTTATCTGCATTTCTCTCCTCACGAGCTGTCACGCTGACAGCTTGAGAGGAGAGGAGAGCAGGTAATCGGCATTCCTCGAAGGGGACATGTACACAGATCATCAGAGCACTGCTGATCAGTGTAACCCTGATGATCTTTGTAGCCCCAGCAGTGCCACCTGTCAGTGTCCATCAGTGCCAGCTCTCAGTGCTCTTCCATGCCACCTGCCAGTGCCCATCAGTGCCACATTTCAGTGCCCATCAATGCCACATATCAGTGCCCATCTGAGCTGCCTTTCAGTGTCACCCATCAGTGCCAGTAAGTGCCACCTATCAGTGCTGCCAATCGGTGCCACCTATCAGTGCCAGTCAGTGCCGCCTATCAGTGCCAGTCCGTGCTGCCTATCAGTGTGTATTAGTGCCGCCTATCAGTGCCTGTCAGTGCCGCCTATCAGTGCCACCTAACAGTGCCAATCAGTGCCGCCTATCAGAGCCAGTCAGTGCCACATATCAGAACCATATATGAGTGCTGCCTTTCAGTGCCCATCAGTGATGCCTGTTAATGCCCATAAGTGCCACCTACCACTGCCTCCTCATCAGTGTCCATCAGTGCCACCTATCAGTGTCCAGCCTATCAGTGCCCATCAGTGCAGCCTCATTAGCGCACATCAGTGAAGGAGAAAAATCACTTATTTACAAAATTGTATAACAAAAACTAAGAAAAAAACTTTTATTTTATTAAAAATTTTCAGTGGTTTTTGGTTTGTTTAAGAAAAAAATAAAAAACCCAGAGGTGATTACATACCACCAAAATAAAGCTCTATCTGTCACAAAAAAATGATAAAAATTTCATATGGGTACAGTGTTGCATGACCACGCAATTGTCATTCAAATTGCAACAGCACTGAAAGCTGGAAATTGGCCTGGGCAGGAAGGGGGTATAAGTGCCCTGTAGGCAAGTGGTTAATAAAGTATAATATGGGGAGTGATTCTCCTTGCTAACTTTTAATATGTGTCTTTTCAGTGCGTTACTCTTTGAGGTACTTTAAAAGTCCATATGGTGTTTTTCTTGGTGTTTTCTGTGATTTTTGGGGGAGATGTGGTGTCCCCCCTACCCTTTTTTTTTTTTTACTATAATTCCACCCGATATCTATACCAGATGTGGTGTAGGAGAATAGGCACATGGGAACTGGGTTTTGATTAGCAGGCGGACAGGTACATGGGACCCTGGTTATGAACTGCAGGACTGGTGAAGGAACAGGGTAGTTTTATTTTGTACAGGATTCACAATGAAACAGAAACCAGAGCAAAGTGCCAATAAGAGAACATTTTGCAGGGTTATACTATAGATTAAATGAAAAGTATTCCCATAGCTACATCTTTTTATTACCTTTGCTATAGAAAACAAAAGCCCTAACAAATATTAATTCAACATGTTTAGCTTTTTTTAAAAAGTCTTTTCCGGGGATTTTTTTCTTAACTGGGGCCTAGCTGAAAAAATGCCAGATCAGGCTTTGCAATGTTTATGTATTAATACAGTATATTTAAAAGAGTATATTACTTTGTATGTATGGATTTACATCTTTTATGAGTAATGATGTAGAAATTCAGTTTCACTAATCCGCTTAATAAATGAAGTTTCATACATCTTATGTTGAGTTCTTGATAAGCATATGTTACTGATAATTATTTTTAAGTATTCACTGAAACATGTTTGCATCATGTGTAGAGAAGGCTTTACTAAGCAAAATCTGTAAAGCTCACCAAGGGAGCATCTCATTGAAGTAAAACGTGAACGTAAGGAGACTTCCAACAATACTTTCTGAAAAATGTATGCAAATTTGCCTCTCCTTAAGGAAAAAGGATTTCTGGGTACATGTAATTTTTTTCTTTTCCATAGCAGAACTTTGAATATCCCATTCACTAGTAGAGTTGTCACCTGTCCAATTTTGAACCACACAGTCTGTTTCTTGACATGCGTAACACGCTATAATTATATGCTATTTTTTTAAACCGTATATAAAAACATTTTTTCAACAAACATATATACCATAAAAATCCCAATACCATACAAACTAAACCCAGAAAATAAACATACCAAACTGAATCCAACATTCTATATTTAAAACTTCACACATTCTATTCTTTTCCATCCCTCTGGTCCAAACCAGGGGCGGACTAACAACTCATGGGGCCCCCGGGCAATAGGGGATCATAGGGCCCCCGTGCCCTTGCCCAAACTCAAAAAAGCCAATTAAAAAGGTACCAGGGGCATCTCATGGGGCCCCCTACTGACCCCGGGCCCTCGGGCAGTGCCCGAGTTTCCAAATGGTCAGTCCGCCCCTGGTCCAAACCAAAAAAAACGGTGATAAAAAAAAAATTCATACAAAATATTACTCCAGCATTCCTGAGCTTCTAGCATCTTTCATATTCTCATCCATTTGGTACCAGACTGGGAACCTAAAGCCATCTTTTGAAAATTATTTAAATCTCTCCAATGCTGAAAGGTCAACTGCTCTAGTCTCAAACTTAAATTGACTGGCGATATCTATTCCCCCACTTTTGGTGGATGTGGCAATATCCACTTTTGTGAAATCAATTTTCTATCAAGAAACAATGTTTTACTAAGCTACAAAATGCATGTACTGTATACAGTATGTGTAACATACAACATTTGCTTTAAAAATAGCATTAATTGAACAGCATTTTCCCAATATCTTACCAATTGAGGACATCTCCAGATAAGGTGCATAAAATCTCCCAGGACCTGTCCACATCTAGTACAATTAGAACTCTCTCAATGGCCTGCTTCATAAAGTGAACAGGGAGTCGTATACCTTCAATGTACGATATATACCATAGTTACTATCTAAGAGGCTGAGATTGCAACAAAGGGACTTGTCCATAATAGATATGACAATGCATCTTCCAAAACAATACCTACACCTTGAGACCATTGCTCTGTGCATTTCCTGGATTTTTCAACTGATATTTATGGATTAATATGTCATACAGTAATGGAATGTTTCAGTTGTATGGAATGTGTAAGATTTGGCTTTTTGTTTCTCCACTTTTTGTGTCATAGCAATACAAACAAAAGAAACATGAGAATGCCTAAACATTTGAAATTGCAACAATTTTCTGGGCCAAGTGGTGCATTACGTAACAGAAATGCAGGGTGAGAATATTTTTGGCCATGACTGTATATAGAGTAATGCCTTTTTCAGACAATACCACTTTCTCTATTGGGATGTCTATTATAAATAAATGTTAAATCAAGCAGGCTACTGTACTGAATGATGGGTCTCTAGTTGTCGTTGGCTGGCTCTGGATCTCCAGATTCTGGCTAGCACACAGATGACGCTACACCCATTATAATCATCAAGACATAGGGAGAAATAACCACAATATCATGGCAGCTTTTAAGTTAGAAAAACAGTGAGCTGCTCCTAATTTTTGATATAGCTCTGAAAGCACCATAGCGCTGCCTCCTTATTTTGCATGTAAGGACCGGTCATGGTGTTGAGCTTCAGGAGATCTCTAGTTGCTCTGTTTCCCTTTGGAAGTAAGGTACATTTCATAAAAGACTGAACTGTACAATGCTCCTGTAAAATTCTAAAGCAAACCTGTGTATTCCCCTTGTACGGAATAGCAGTAGGTTCCCGTAACTTTCCTTCCTCCCCAGCAGCATTCACTATCCTTCCCCCACTGTCTTTTTTGCTGCTGGAGCAAACAGAAATATCTGGTATTTCCAAGTATTGAGGAGCATGAGGCATGCTCCCCTTAGTGCTGGTTCACACATATGCGGATTGGATGTGGTTTGAACTGCATCCAATCTGCATGACATGTGAAAAAACATTGCTTCCTATGGTGCCTGTTCACATATGTCCGTTGCACTAGCGGAGCGGATTCAGTCCTGTTTGAAAAAGAGTCATGTACGATTTCTGAGCAGTGCCTTCAGGTTCAGGTGTGGATTACAGGCTATTCCTTTTGTTTGAACAGGATAAAATTCTGATTTAATCCTGTCCTGAACCTTATGTAAACCTGACATGAACGGCTCAACAACTACTGTATCAGTTAGCTGTGAAACCTGAGCTCTTATCCTGAATGCACATGTGTTAAACAGCTCTTACTTCCATATGAAGGTGTGGATTCTTGGTGAACTGGCTCAAAACTGTAACATGTGGATGAGGACAGTGTCATTAGCTTCATGTCTCCATGGGCTAAATGAAGCAACCAGGAAACAAGTGGAAGGTGAATATGTACACCTGGAAAGAGAAGAAGTGACATGAGCATTCAGGAACCAGAGGTGGGCAAAATGTACCTGAGTTCAGGTCGAGGCAGGTTTCTCGGAACATGACAAAAGTTTGGGTGCTGAATCTGAATCCCATTGATGTCAATGGTAGTTGAATATTAAAGTGTGTCTATGGTCAAAATTAAAATCATATACAGTATTCATTTACACTTGGTATTTCAATTATTTATCCTACTCCTATTAATTCCAATGACCTGGCAGTATGTAAATTTACTTTGTAAAGTTCCCCACACATCTTCCTTGAATTCTGTAAAACGTATTCTCTATGCCCTGTGGGTAGGCAGTACTGTATCACACATTTCACAGAGCCTGCCTTCTGAACTTCTGAGAGGATGAGTTTCAGGAGGCGGAGTCAGTAGAGGAATCACTGCTTTCTGGCAAGGTACCATGGGATATGTAGTTCTTAGAAATGGGAAGTAAAGCAGAGGAGAAGCTGAAAAGCATGCAGGGAATCCAAGAAGTTGTTGAAAGAATGGCCAGTGGACTAACGTGAAAAGAGATTTTTCAAGTCAGCTTATATTGAAATGTGAAAAATAACTATTAAATGTATTTCTATTACAATGCTGATGTTATAAAATGAAGGTATATGCTAAATGACCATAGAACTTACTTAAAATGTAATGCCTGTTTTTTTAGGTTAATAGGCAAGGGATTATCAGACAAATGGCATGAAAGGCTGGGCACTGCCATGGGGAGGTCTTTCTTGAACCATAATCTCTATGGCTCTTTTGTTTTGCTATTGAAGAATTCTGTTGCCTTTATCTTCAATAGCTAATTCCCAACCGGCATGGCTAGTATTTTGCAGTTAATATTGGCCACTCTTTATGATACTGTGGCTCACTGGCAAAACATGAAAACTGGGTAATGTATGATTTAGTATGATGATGTGATACTACATCCAATTGTAATTGGTTCACTTTCTATCAATATGTAAGTAACATTGTAGTAGTATGCGATGTTCTCAGTGAAAAAAAAGCTGCAGTTACTCGTGGGCAAATCTGGAAGTAACGTGTTGGTCACTATATAAGCCCCTGACATTATAGCCGCAGCGTCCTGAAGAAGCTCACGTGAATCGGAGGGTGAAACGCGTTGACGTCACAGCATCGTGACGCCTGTGGCCTTGCCACTTACTGGGACACGCTATTGAAGCCACAT